CATCAAGAATTCATGATACGTCTGAGGTTTGTTTTTATTCCCAATGTTGAGTTCTTATAGGTTCGGAGGCCGTTCGAAGTAGAAGAAAGTAGATTCTGTTGTATTAGCTCGAATTAAGACCGAGTGATGTCTGTTTCACTATTATAATTAAGAACAATATATATTATGAATATACTGACAATTTTCTCTATTCAGACAATAATTCACAATGTTGTTCGTTAAACGACTCGTTAATTTATCTTTCTAGATCTATGTATACTTGTTGTTTGATATTTGTTTATACTATTATGTATGTTGTGAATAGCAGCTTCCCATTTGGTTATGCGGTGTTGTCTGTCGCTGCAGGGAGGGAGAATGGGGGCGACCAAGTGGTATCGCAGAGCTTCGGTGCCATCCGACGAGAAGCCATGTTCCTCTGTTCGTCGCTGGGGTGGGTTTGGTCGCGTACAAGGGGTGGCTCCGGCTCAGTAGCCGGTGGGGGACTGGGGTGGTGTTTCGTTGTTTGTATCCTTCTTGGCCTATTTGCCTTTGGTGCTGGGGTGATACGGCCGACGGCTTCTCCGACCTCGTCAGTGGTGTTGGTCGGGGTTGGGGAGGCGACTTTTGGCAGGGGGTACGAGCGGTGTTATACCGGCTGCGGGCCGTGGTTGTCCGCCTGGGCTTGGATATGCGTTTTGGGGGATGGATCATGTTAGGCGTTTGGCAGTTTCTGGTTCGTCTTCCTGAAGCGCGGTCTAGTCCGATTGGTGGTCGGCTGTGGGGTTGTCGGCGTTCTCTTAGTGCTTGTCGGAGGAAGGGCTTGCGTAGTTATAGTTTGTATTTTGTTGCTTGAGTCTGTGTAGTTATGTGTTTTTGGTCTGAGTTCTTTGCCTGAGTATTTTATGTCTTGTCACTTTGGTCTGGGTCATTGGCCCCTGTGTGAGGGAGCAATTTATCGTCCTGAGGAGACCAACTCCTATCTCTATTCTCTTGTGTGGAGCTTTCGTTGTAGTTTTATTGTGTTTGTTGTGTTGTTGTATTGAGTCTCATTTGGGTTTCTAGCGTTTGCTAGCGTCGGAGTTCTAGGCGGTCGTCAGACCTGCCCTCCCATTTTTTTTAGTAGGGTTGTTTATTCAACTTTGGGTTGTATCTTTGCAATTTTGTGCGTTTGTTATATATATTTCCTATCGTTTCGAAAAAAAAGGATGTATCGAAAAAAATCTGTGTAATTTCTTCCTTTAAATGTTTGATTTTTTTTTTAATATTTCAAAATACATTTAGGAGGGATATTCTAATTTTCCAAAAATATTACTTATTTTTGTAATTATTAAATTTTATGCGGGATTTTAGCGACTATTTCATGTAAATGTCAAACCTTTATATATATATATATATATATTACAAATTTTGGGCAAGATAGAATATATCCAAAAAAATCTTTGCGTGATTGTTTACTTTAAAAGTTTTGATTTAATTTTTTTCCAATAATTTTCAAAACAAATTTAGGCGGGATATTTTGAATTTTTTTAATAATAATAATTTTTTTTAAGTAATTTTAAAATTTTAGGCGTAATTTTTACTTCTATTTTAGATAAATACTAAACCTTTATATATATATATATATATATAGATATATATTAGATGCATTCCTATTAATTTATTTAATTACTAATTATTATTATTATTATTTTAATCTAAGTAGAGTTTATCAATATTCGTCCAAAATACCTAATCCAAGTGTTTGTCCATATTAGCTACACCAAATTAGAGTAATCATTATTAATTGAGTAATCTAATTCTAAATTAATTGTTCCAAGCTAAGTGTCATTGTTTGAAATTTTGTGCAGCCAAGAGTCTCTCTATTTTGTTTTTTTAATATTCTTCTAATACAGCAAAAATTGAATTTGTCCTTTTTTCAACATTTGTACTCAATTAATTTGGATTAATCTTAATATTTTTACGATTAATTAGCAACTTAATTAATTAGTTTGCTCACATTTTCAAAGAACATTCCTAACTAGAGTCCTTGGGATCTGAAATATTCATGATTTGACTGAGAAATACAGTGGCAAGAATACGTTATTGTCCTTGAGAAATGCGATTATATTGTGTTTATCATGTGAAGCTATAGTTCCAACTTCCAAAATTATATTTTTTTTTTTTTGGAACAAAGAAAGGAGGCTAATGCCTAGAACCATCAGACAGTTATGTGCCGCGGGTACACAATCTCAATGATGTCATGTTGTATCCACGGTTTAACTTCTAACGGTGGATCAGATAATCGTTGGCAACTACTAGGACCACAATGGGCAAGAGTCGCCAAGCAGTCAGCCGTAAAGTTAGCTTCGCGATAGCAATGAGTCACTTTTGCCTCTCCATCTCGGGTGAGCAGTTCCCTAATGGCCCGAACCAAGGTACCATGCACTCCAAGCTCAGTTGAGCCCCCATTTGCCATCGCCACCACACTTTTATTGTCCACTTCAACAGTAATTCTACCGCACTCCATGTCTCAGGATAAAAGTAAACCTTGGAAAAGGTCCCATAACTCTGCTCCTGTGATCGAACAATACCCAATATTCATCGCAAATCCCCCAAGCCAGCGACCCCCTGCATCACGAACTAATCCGCCGGCCGCATCCATCCCGGATGTAGTAAAAAAAGGAGCCATTCGTGTTAACTTTGACAGTGCCGTCAATAGGAGCTTCCCAACGGATGAAATACACTCCACGCCCCACCCCGTGGCGACTAAGATTTTTCTCGGCCAAGGTGACAGATCTGATTCCTAGGACAAAAGGACCTAGCTTCCCGAACTTTTTGAGTGACAACAAATTCTTTATGAGCGAAAATTTTTTCGTTCCTCCCCTGCCATATATGCCATGCTGTGACCCCAAAAATGGTCTCCCACCCAACAACACCAATATCTAAGCCATTTTGCAGGTTCTGGATCAACCAATCCCGTAGATGTAAGTGAAAGAACTCGGCTTGTTGACGAGCAGGGACCAAGCTCCGCCAAATATGTCGGGCTCAAATGAAGTCACGAAGGGGTCAACTCATTGTAACGGCCACGTAATGTGCAGGTTGACGAGTCTGAAATATGTCGCCTCCGCTGCTCTTCATTAGTGAGCAACTTATCTTGAGCGGCAAGTCAAATGAATTGTCGAACCCTTTGCGGACCAGCCCATTTCCATATTATTCTCCACGGGGTCTGATCAATAGCTGACGCCAGAGAGGCATTGACCAACGCATCATAGGCTGATTTCGTCCTGAAGCTACTATTTTTTGAAAACCCCCAATACATTTTGTCCGGCCCAACATCTCGCGTAGGTGGCAGAACAGCGGTAATGCGCAAGGATATACCGGCCGGTACTAAGTCTAAAAAAAGATCCCATTTCCATTGACATGCGCCATCAACATAAGCACTAATCGTCCAGTCGAACTGCTCAGTCGGGATAGGGCCCAGGGCCTCGTTACTGAGAGGATGCGGGTTATGCGTCCAATTGTCCCTCCAAAACTGAGCAGTTGCTTCATCTCCAATAGACCACCTCATCTTATACCGCACGGACGACCAAACCTTTTTAATGGCCTGAAGAGTGGCAGACTCTCTAGGAAACACAAAATCGTCGGACATCAAGGCGGGAAACCGACTTATATTTGGCATGAATTATCCGAACCCAAAGAGCATGTGGATTAGTTAAGAGGGACCAACCCAATTTCATAAGGAGGGTGGTATTCATTTCACGCTGCTTTTTAATGCCAACCTGCCGTACTCTTTAGGTTGGCATATCTTGTCCCAAGACACCAGATGAATTTTTCGGTTGGATGTAAATCCACCCCACAAGAAATTGCGACAATGCTTTTTCAAGCCAACACACGTCCCATTAGGCAACCAAACAGTTTGCATTGTGTAGAACGACAGAGAGCTAATCACCGACTGCATAAGAACAAGACTGCCAGCTAAAGACAACGTGTTGGCTTTATAACTAGCAATCCTAGCATCCGCCTTCTCGAGGATGTTCTCGTAAGTAAGATTGGTAACACAACTATGCACTACTGGTACTCCAAGGTATTTACTGAGATTGGTGACGTTCGAAAACCCCATGGTCCGAGCTAGATCTTGCTGACCGGAGTGAGGGGTATTCTTAGAGAAATAGACGTTCGTCTTGGCGTGGCTGACCTTGAGTCCAGACATGGAGTAAAAATCCATTAGCACTGAATTGACCAACTGTACCTGATCATCGCTGGCTTCTAAGAACAAAAGTAGGTCGTCTGCGAACACGAGAAGTGGCACGTGGACCTCGCTACCTCCAACCCTAATTGGCCGCCAGTAACCGGCCTCCACATGGCATTGGATTAGATGGGCCTGTCGTTCGATGCATAATACGAACAAATACAGAGAGATTGGATCTTCTTGCAGCACACCACGATTAGGAAAAAGTTCTTCGTTTGTAATCCCATTGAAGCTAAGTTGCATGGCCGAAGACTGAATGTATGCCATAACAATCCGAACAAATGTGTTGGGAAAACCAGCCGCCCGATGTGTTTCCTCCACAAAGTCCCAACGAAGGAAATCATACGCCTTTTCCAGGTCAACCTTGGTAACCATGAAACCTCGACGACCCTTCTTGTTTCGCATAGAGTGATTTAACTCTTGAGCCACGATGATATTGTCAGTAATATGGCGGTCGGGCACAAAGCTAGATTGAGTCTGACCGACGAGCAAGGGGAGGGTAGGCTTCATGCGGTTAACCAATACCTTTGTGATCAGCTTGTACACCACGTTGAGGAGGCTAATAGGACGAAAGTTCTGAATACGCTCAGGGTTGGGAACTTTCGGAATGAGGACAAGTAAGGTATTGTTTAATTCTATTGTCAAGCTGCCCCCACTAAAAAGTTACGGATCATATCACATACAGTTGGGCCCACCGTATCCCATTTTTGCTGAAAAATATCGCATGGATTCCATCTGGTCCAGGTGCTTTCAGCGGTTTCATCTCATTAAGGGTGAGGAGGATTTAAGAGTCACACACCACACGTCCATACGAGGAAAGATGTGAGGATCGAGTCGTGGAAAAAAATTAGCCATTCCTGGGCCCGCAAGAATCGATTCAGAGTGAGTGTAGATACCCCGGAAAAAATCAAGGGCCAATTTTTGTAGCGTCTCAGGGTCCTCCACGATAGAATCAACTTCATCTCGCAGTGAGAGTATCCGATTATAGTGGCGATGTTGCTTAACTGCCTTATGGTAGTATGTTGTGTTCCGGTCTCCAAATAACGTCCAATCTCTTTGAGATTTCTGTAGCAATAAAATCTCCTCTTCCAATGCGACTGCATTGAGCTCTTTACGTAAAGCGGACTCCATGGCACACAGCCGAGGTGTGGTGTATTTCTGAAGCTCGTGTTGGATCCCAGCAATTCGCCTCAGAAGCCGCTTCTTGCGTTGAAAATATTATCGAAGACAATAAAGTTCCATTGCTTGGCCAGCTCCTGGAAACATTTGCTAGATTCAGT